GAATCCCCAACATAGGGTACTGGCACAGTTAGACCTGTCCTCTCAGAATCAGAAGGCAAAAAAATGATTATAGGAAGTAGCTGCAAATGCACTAACTCTTGCTTTCTGAAGTTTTACCAATTGCAAAAAGATCCTCGCTTTGAAAAAAGGAGTGTTTTGCTGCCTTTGATCTGCTCCCATCGGGCATGGGGCCAGCGGTGTAGGGGCTGTCTCACTGCCCTGTGCACAGGAAACTGAAGATGGAGTTTCTCGCCTGTCGTTTCCAGCTTCAGGGTAGCAATTGGTTGGTCTTTGGCAAGTAACTGGTTATCAGTGCACAAGAAGCCTGGAGGGGGGCGGGGAATGGAGACAGAATGAGGTAGTAAAAGGATGTTGAGACATAAATAAAAGTGTGCCTTGTGGAGCTTCAGTTGCAACTGTCAGGGGAATGACAGAGAGCAAGCATGTTCTTGGAGAGATCAGGTGGCCATGCTTGCAAATGAAAATCCTATCTGGAGCCTCTTGCCAAGCCATGTCCCCAAGAACAGGATGAGCTCTGGCACAGCTCTGAGGTGCTTGATTCATGAGCCATTTCCATCTCTCTGGGGAAAGCTGCATGTGAACAGCATTTTGGAGCCTGCCTCTGGTGACGGCATGATTTATATTCCCCAGAGCAGGCAGGATCTGGGCTTCTCACAGAGTCCCTGGAACAGATGCTAGCAGGGCAGGTAGGTACCATGAAGCAGCTACTGCCTGTCTCTGGACTGCTCCCTCTCTCCAGCTCCCCTCTCAGCCCTCGCCAGGAGGTATACCTTGCTGCCGTCTGCTTAAGCCAGCTTGTACTGACTTTGACCTTTTGCCCTCACTGTTCTCCATGACCATAATGATCCAGACCTCAACCTTCTACCTGACTCCAGGCAAAAGACTAGGGTCAGGTCCAGGCAGGACTCTGGCTGATGGGCAAGTGCCAAGTCAGGCCCCTGGAACAAGAACAGAGTCCTCTTTTACCCTCCAGAGTCCAGGAGTAGAAAGGGCCCAAGAAGGACGTCTGAGCCAGAATCCTCATGCCTAGAGAGCCACGAAGGAAGGAGAAATCGAGTGTGTGGCCAAGTCTGGAGGGCAAGACAGGTAGGCAGGGCCAAGGGTCCAGAGCTGGTTAGGCAGGAGTGGAATGTAAGCAGACTGGGAAGAAAAGACAGGCGGAATCTTAGCTTTTGGTGCCTCCCTAGCTTGCCAGTGCTGAGCAGCTGGTGGGCCAGGAGTGCCCTCCTTTTCCACTCTTCCTGTCTTGCCACCCGGCTCACGTGCCCTCTCTCCCTCGAGTTATCCTCTGCTGAGCTATGACTGCCAGTTTTGTCTGCAAAGCCAATGTGTCTCTGTTGTTTCTTCGTTTCAGATCATGGCCATCAGAATAGTGGCTAAAATCAGGCTGTAAGACTAAATGCTTTAGGGGCTCTTTCTGCACAGCCACTGTTTGTTTATTCACATTCTCATATTCATTCCCTCCTCCTCTCTTTCTTTTCTTGCTCTCTCCCCTGCTTATCCTGTACTGATTGTTCATTCAGTCTCTCTATATACATACATGTGCTACTATGTAGTAATTTATTTTTCATGTTGCAGAGATTACTGTGCCTATCTAGCAGCTTCTCAGGGCAGAAGTGTTCTTCCTTTGAGTAATCCCAGCCCCAGCTGAGTGTCTTGGATGTACTGGTTGCACAGTGAATTTTTGAGGATTGGTCAGCCTAATGACCTCATCAATGAGTGAGGGGCACCAAAGCTTATCTTACTTTCCTGACTTCCTCCCAGGATTTGGTAATAGGATTTATTTTGTTTTTTAAATTAACATTCAGTATATATCAGTCAGTATCAAAGCAAGAATAAGAAACCACACAATAATTTGAACAGAGATTGGAGTAAAAGGGATTGGCTAGTAATAAGGAAGAACTAAAGGATATTAGTCATACCGGATAGTACGCACCTTGAAGGCAGCTATAATGTGACTCTCATCTATTTAGCCCCTGTAATTCTTACACATGGTTCCCACCCAGTAATTATTGTTGAAGCAATATGGATTGAATCAGGGCCTATGGTGACCAGATGTGCCATCTCTAGAAAGTCACTCAGAGAAATGGGTGCAGGAGAGTGAGTGTGCTGTGAGAACCGGTAGCAAGGCACTAGGGACTCCTACTATATAGATATGAGGCTTGTTTTGTAAATGGGAGATCCCTTTATCTATGACATCGCCTGTTTATTTTTCCCTTCAGTGTTAATACTTTGAAGGGTCAGGAAATAGGAAACAACCCCATTAAGCAGGAGATACTGAGGGCTCAGTCTGTGGCTGACAGTAAGAACAGAACTGCAAGATAATGGAGGCTGATACAGGTCCCAGGCAATTCTTCTCCCCTTTGCAAAGTGCTGAATGACAAGCCGATTTCTCAGCTCCAAGCAGGCAGTTGCATTCAGATGATAAATGTGTCCCTGGACAGAGGAGCTCGTTGAGTAATATTTACCAGGGTCTCTGTGAAGGGCCTTCAGCTCCCAAAGGAGCCTTTCAAGTCTTCACCTGCTTGCCTGTTCAGCTGACATCCACCAGGCAGTGAGAGGAATAAAAGCTGTCCAACATGATGGAAGCTTGGTGATTTGTTTCGATGCTATAAGTTTCCTGGTTTCTCCTAATTCCTATATTCAGTCCCTCCCTGTCGAAGTCAAACCCCAGAAGAGAAGCATGGAGTCTGTGAGAAGCTTAGAGCCTTTTAGGGGGAGGGGAGGGAGGTCAGTGAGTGCCACAGATCTGAGCTGGACTCAGACTCAGCTCTACCACCTAATTAATACTTTTTAGCCCAGTTCCTTGGATTCTCCGAACCTCTGTCACCTTAGATATAAGATAGAGATAATAAGACCTACCTCACAGAGTTGTCATAGAGATAAAATTAAATCTGTGTAAAAATACTTGGCACATTGTAAAATTCTCTCCAGCATAGGTCATTCATTCATTCAGCAATTCCCCACTGCATAGCTGCTGCATGCCAGGTACTGCACTATGGTTAAAGAGCCAGCTCCAGACTGTGAAGGCTGGGAACAAAAGCAGGCCAATAGCCAGGACTTTACCAGTCATCAGTGTGGTTCTGAGATAATTACTAGATGTTTTTATCTGGGTTTTCCAGAGAAACAGAACCAATAAAAGATCACACACACACACACACACACACACACACACACACACACAACACGTAGATATAAATAGGATGTGCTTGTATGTATATTTATTTATTTTTATAAAGAGATAAAGGAAACTTATTATAAGGAATTCGTTCATGTGGTTATGGAGACTGAGAAGCCCCAAGATCTGCTGCAGCAAGCTGGAGACCCAGGAAAGCCAGTGGTGTAAGTTTCAGTTCAGGTCCAAGCCTGAAGGCAAAAGATTGATGCCTTAGGTTGGTGACAGCACAGAAAGAGCACATTTTCTCTTTCTCTACTTTTTTGCTCTATCCAGGCCTTCAATGGATAAGCAGATGTGGCCCACTCACGCTGGGGAGGGCAGTCTACTTTACTCAGTCTACCAGCTTAAATGGTAATCTCATCTAGAAATACCCTCACAAACATACCCCAAATAATGTTTAACCAAATATCTGGGCACCCTGCAGCCCAGTCACGTTGACATAAATTTAGCCCTTACACCAGGGTTGGTGTTCACATAGAGCATTCAAGTTTGCATAGCAGCTTTACATGCCATGTCTCATTTGCCCCCCAGAATGTGCCGGTGAGGGGCTTATTTCCCTTCTCTGTCACAGGTGTCACCAACTTGGCCATTTGAAGTGGGTCATGTTTGCCTTAAACCCAAATCTCTATGCACCAAGCCTTATTCCTCTTAGCGACAGGTGGTCTGCGCCTTTCCAGAGTCCCACCTGCTTAGCACATGAGGGGCTAGTGACTGACTGTTGCCTGCAGTGCCCTGGTGCCCTCCACTTCTTTATGCCAGTCCTTAGCAGGAAGGTCTGAAAGTAGTTTTCCTGTGGGCGAGGTATCAGTAAGCATCTCAGCAAAGCATCTCAGCAAAGTCTGAATGTGTTTCTGATGCCTAGGATAGGTGAGGGCTCAACATTGACATGCGCCTTTGTGAGCCTCAGTTGGTTGGGAGGCATGGTGTGGCATGGAGGAGGATGACTGCAGGCCGGCAGTGCTTCCACAGACACATTAGCCACGGCCTGGCTGTCCGTGTCTCATCAGGGCACAGTGCATGGCTTTTACATTTATTAAGCCTTTTGCCATTTTAATCATGCTGATGAATCAAGGTACTCCTGGGTATTTTTGTTTACTTAAAACACATTGTGAGATGTTCTGTTAAAGGCTGTCATAGGGGAAATATGAATTTATTAATTAAAAAATGGTCACCTCCTCATGCTGAGCTTGGAAAATGGGCCAAATCAGCAGCAGTTCTCACGTTTGCGTTTCCAGCAGTGCCTGCCCTACTAGCATTGCAGCCACTTGTCAGCATGTTTGTCCCCTCATCTGGAAAATGCCATTTTAGGCTGCATGTCCCCCTTGCCTAGGACAGTACCCAACACGATGTAGGCACTTAGTTACTGTTTCTGAAATGGACTGGACTGCAGCTTGTGCAGGGAGGATTGCCTCACAGCTGCACTTGCCTCAGCTCTACTCTGGGAAGAGTGTGTGGCCAGCCCATCACAGACAGCACCTCACCTAGTCTGTCATGCATATGCCAGATGCTGGGAATACAATTCTTATTCAGACACAGCTTCTGCCTGTAGAGAGTTCACAGCAGAGTGGGGAGTGACAGCCCATAAACAACCAACCAGAGTTCATCTGGAGAAGCAGTGGACAAAAGAAGTTCAGGAAGAGGGCCTCAGGGACACTGAGGAGGGAGTAGGGTAATGCTGACATCTGGAGGCAATGGTACTAGAGGATCGTTTGGTGACAGAATGGCACAGGACCTCAGAGCTGACTTCCATAGCTCAGCGCTTCCTGTCTCTGATTGGCTTTTTCTGCAATTTTTCCTGCAGGGCCTGTGCCAGCAGTGAGACAGAGAGTGAAGCGGGAGACATCATGGACCAGCAATTTGAAGAGATGAACAACAAACTCAACTCGGTCACTGACCCCACTGGCTTTCTGCGGATGGTTCGCCGCAATAACCTCTTTAACAGGTGCGTGTAGGGTGCTTTCCCTAGGCCCAGTGCAGGGCAGGGTGCTCTGAGCACAGATAATGTGCTTTTAGTGGACGTTCCTTCTGGCTGGTTAGGCTTCTGGCTCATGTCATGCATTTGCAGCAGCAAGCGTGATGCTTCCACAGTCCCATGCCCGTCAGAGCCTCTGCTTCACAGCAGCATCTCCAGCTCAAGTGAGAAAACAGTGACAGGCTTGACGTGACAACCCTCATTTGGCTGGGTTGGGAGTCCCAGGGGACAGTCGGCTGCTTCTTCACATAGCCTCAGAGCTGACTTTCCAAACATCAGGCAGAAGCCAGAGTAACTTCACATACTTCTTTGCTAGCTTCTGCAGGTAACTCGTGGGTACCTGCATTGACTTCCTGGCCTGAGATTCAGGGAGGTCAGGGAGAGTGAGAATGCTGGTGCTGTTGGAAGGAGAAACTGGGCCTAGGAATGCACTCATCCAGACCCAGGCTCACCCATCTGTGCCAAGACCTCAGTTCCCTGTCACTTGACCAAATAGTTCTTAATGGCTTTAAGATGAATCGAGTTTGAAATTTCCAAGCCAGCACACCCCTTCATCTTTTTCTTAGGAGTGATACCCGAGCTAGGTCCAGGTAAACGGGGCAGACAGTTGGGGTTGAGGGACACCTGTCCCACTGTTGTTTGGTTGCCTGGCAACAACCTAGGAGTACATTTTGATAGACCTCTTTGGAAAGACATCACAGACTCCCTAGGTCCCTGCCACAGCCTGAGGGCCTGCCTTTAAAGGGCAGCTGGTTGACCCTAGAACACAGGTGGGAAGTGACTATGCACTGGGTGGGAGGCAGTCTTTCTGCTTGGCAGCCCTGCTGTGCAGGGCATTGTGTGCCCTGTCTGTTCCTACTCCAGGCCCTGGTTTCCTCTCATTATTGTGCTGTCAGAGTGACAAATGTGTGTTGACTTTCCCAGGGCTGAGTTGAGTGGGAAGGGAGCCAAGGACAGGGGATGTAGGAGCTGGCAGCCTGGTTGTAAGGAGGCCAGAACTTCAAGCTAGTTCACGCCTAGTTCCTTCTTCCCAGCCACCTTCACAGGTGTCCCTTATGGCTTTTGCTTTCATGTAGGGATCCACCAGGTTTGCGGAGGCCTGGGATTGGGCCTGGATGCATGTTCTTGCTCTGCCAACTTCTCAGCCAGTGAAGGCAGGTGACACTTACCTCTGCCAGGTGATGCAAGCTGTGGTGATAAACTAGAGTGTGAAGAGCTCAGAGTGCAGCCTCTGGCCTTGCCACACCAGCTGTAGGACACTAGGGAGGCAGTTTCACCTCTGTCAGTCTCAGTCTCGTCATCTGTGAAATGGGGATGGCTTCTTACCCTGCAGGGTTCCTGTAATGTGGGAATAATGGAGCCAATGTATAAATAACACACTGACCGACTTAATATGTGGAAGACACTGTACAACTGGTGGGTTTCTGTTGTTTTGAATAAAGTGGGAAGAATAGTGCTAAACTTAAATTCTTAACGTGGGTGGAGAAACTTTGGAAGGGATGAGATGTCTATGTGCCTATGCAGCAGCTGTTGGCCACCTTGGGTTGTAGCCTCCCCCATCCTTCTTCCCTTCCTACCTCAAGTCCTTCACATGAGAGAGCTGCCAAAGCAGGCGGTCAGGCATCCATGGTGACCTGCTTGCAGACACTCTAGCAGTCAGGAACCAGTTCCCCCAGGACCTCAGCTCTGTGGAAGAAAAGGGTCGAGCCAGGTATATCTAGGGCCCTAGGTAATCAACCCTGGGCTTTGAGTTGGTGTGCATTTTGAATGGTGGAGTGCACATTTTGGAAAGATGGTTTCTGTCCTTTGGAGCAGCCCTGCAATAACTCCAGTGAGCACAGTACTGTAGATTAATTTGTTGGTTCACTTATACAACACAATCTCCGTCCCCAGCCAGGCTGAGTATTGTGCCCAGCCCTGAGGACTGAGTGGGGAGCAGCAAGGCCCACAGCCCTGAGCTTGCACCCAGCTCCATTGGCAAGGTCTGACCCAACCCAGTCCCACCCTCAGAAAAGAAAAGGAGTTGAAGGGGTCTCTGCAGACTCTTCCAATCCCGACCCTTTGGATGAGGGAAATAGCCGGCATTCTTCTCACTTCAATGCAGTGAGCCCTTAAGGCCCAGGTAAGTTTGCAACACTGCGTGTTCTCTAGTGCCTCTCTCAGAAGCCAGGAAGCGGGGTTCTGGCCTTCATCCACAAGAGAGTGGAGCTGCAGCTGAGGGAACCATGGAGGCAAAGGTATCCCTGTTAAAACAGTGCAAACTTCCCTCACATCTTATAGCTCAGCACACATAGGCCAGAGAGGAGGGAGGTCTGCCCATGAACGGGCGCCGAAACATGCCTTGCAGCTTTCCTGCCAGCCTGTCCCTGCTCTGCTGTGGGGTCCCAGGCCTCCCTCTCTGTCCCACATATGGCCAGGGATCTGGGCTAAGAGGTGCACTGGCTTGTGACTGAACAGAGCAGCTAGAAGTGGCGTTTCTGCAGATTGCTGATAGTGGCTAGCATTTGCAGAGTGCTCGTACCCTGGAGCCAACAGAGGTGACATGGAAGCAACCATGTGTGTAGGGCCTTGTGTGCTGGAGCAGTAAGGGCTCCTCTCTCCAGGGGCTCTCTAGCTCAGTGATTTTATGGATTCCTTGGCCCCTTTGTTCCTGGGTGGTTTGCTGGACTGATTTGGCAATGAGGCCACTGTAGCTAATGCAAGTCAAGTGCAACTTGGCTTTAGGTTTTTCTCCCTTGCCACTTCAGGAATTGGTCTTTGTTCTGCTGTCATTTTTGAGGTCTCTGCAATCACTATTTTTCTTCTTGCCTATTGGCAGAAAACACATTTGCATTTTGAACTCAGGGTAAGCACCACTATTGAATGAAAAACAAAGACCCTTCTCTTGGCTAGCACCCTGACCTTGGTGTGAGCCCCAGAGGGCAGAGCAGCAGCCCTATCCTTTGGGAGTGACGCTGAGGACTGGTAGGCCAGCACATGCATGTAAGTGTCTGTGTGTGGGTAGGGGGAGGTTCTGTGGGAATGTATGTAAGTATTTGTGTGTGCAGAGTTGTATTTGTATATGTGTGTTTGTGTGTGGTATGTATATATGGTATGTGTGTATGTGACTGGACCTGAGGCAGTCAGTAGATCACATTTGCTGTAGAAAAGAGAAGGAAGAACAGGACAGGCTTTTGACTGCATCCTGGATCCTGGACTACAGGGAGTGCCTTGGTATTAAGTAAGGCGCACCCATCCAGAGTCATTTAGGGCCAGTACCCCAGAGAAGTTTCCTGACTTCTGTAAGCCACCATTGGTACAACAAGCATCCTAGGTCTTTAATTTTCCACATTATATCTGTGTGTGACACAGTGTGGAGAGGGACTTTCTTATTGTCCAGAGAGCAGTGACTAGAGCCAAAACAGAGGACAAAGAAGTAAGTCTCCTTATTCTAAAGAGAGGAGCACAACAGGGCCAGAGCCCACCCTCAGGTCTCTGCAACTTCCCTCTAGTGCCCTGTGACACACTCCCGGTCTCTCACAGAAGACTGGACAAGGAATAAGCAAGAGAGAACCTCAGCTTGGTTGGGGGTCCTTCTAGAGAATCGCCAGCAAAAACTGGGGTCCTGCTAGATGAGGAAAGAGGCATCTCCATCCCATGGGCCCAACCTCCATGACTATAGAACAGGGAGAAAAGAAAGTAGGGAGAATGCTAGGTGGGAGTGGGATGGCCACAGTGCTCAGCGTGCCCACATTTCACGTGGCATGGGTGTGTGTGTGTGTGTCACGCTGGGTGGATCACATGGGCCTAGCACCTTACTGGTTCCCCACCCAGGAGACTGTCTGCTGGGCAGGGACCTCAGCCACATGTTACAGAGTGTGCAGCCAGTGGCAGAGGGGAGGGGTTCTGGGGGAGCCAGAGCTGGCTGCCATGTTGAGGGGTGCAGAGGAAGCCCTCCAGAGCGTTTGCCTGCCCCCTTCCCCCTCTGCCCTCAACACCTGAGGGTCAGGCCCTGAAAGTGGAGAGGCAGTAGTGCTCCCAGAGCCTATGCTGCCCTCCAAATCCATGCGTGAAAGCCTGGCCTGCAGTGGAGGTGGGAGGGAATGCAGTGACTGTAATACACAGGACGATTTCCTAAAGGCATGGGGAAGAAAGTGTCAGCAGGACAGTGGAGAGCGGTGACTGGAAAGGAGAGCCGTCTCCACAAGACCAGCCTGGCCAGTAAGCTGAGACCTGGCACACGTGCGTCCTGCTGTGTGTGCATGTGCATAGATGTGTAGTTGTAGTTCTTTATTTGTTTAGAGACAGCGTCATACTCTGTTATCCAGGCTGGGTTATAGTGGTGCCATCATAAATAACTGCAGCCTCAAACTCCTGGGCTCAAGCAGTACTCCTGCCTGAGCCTCCTGAGTAGCAGGGACCACAGGTGCACACCACCTCATCCAGTTAATTAAAAAAAATTTTTTTTTGTAGAGACAGGGTCTTGCTATTTGGCCCAGGCTGGCTCAAGTGATCCTCTCACCGTGGCCTCCCAAAATGCTGGGATCACAGATGTGAGTCTCCGTGCCTGGCCAGGCTGTGGTTCTTTATGAACATACATGAGGGCCACCCTGCTTTAGGGCCGTACAGAGGTGTGCTGCAGCAGTGCTGCAAAAACCCAGTGTAGGCCAATGATCTGCTGATCACTGTCTTCCTAGGTCTAGGCCTTTGTCTGTGGTGAGACACACAGTGCAGAGGAGAAATCTTGGGCTCTGGGGCCAGCCAGACCTTGATTTGAAACCTGGCTCTGCCCTTTGTTAGGGTGACCTTCAACTTTTTACATTTGCTTACTGATAGAGTTGTTACTAGGACGCAATAAGAGTAATGATGACTAGATCGATCCTGCTGTGTAGTAAGTAGTTTCTTTCTCTCCCCACTTTGAGTCTGAGGTTTCTATGGCACCAAAGGCTCTTTTTTTAGGGGTGAATCAACTACTCAAAAGATCCAAAAGA